GGAAGATGGGGAGGGGGGATCGAAGCTCTGCCGAGATTGATGAGATTACGACAGAGACGTTAGGTACCAACCTAACCCCAGCAGGGCAATGCGGATACCTGATAGCGATTTAATCAATGGATTCTGATGTTGAGCAAAAGAAAAGGCTTGAAATCTTCCCAGTCGTCTATTGGTCAAAATCCGATATGATGGTGCGATTCCGGCTGAAACAGTCGCAAGTTTAAGAGCAGGACGTGACAACGAGGCCCTCCTTGTCGCCCTCTGACGTGAGCTCTCGTTGTCCCCATCCGCAAATTCCCACCCCGCACAATCGCGAACTCACGTGTAGATAGGATGTGATAGAACTCCCCTTTTCCACTTCTACTTTCAAGGGGAAAGAAGCGAGCAAAAGCACGGGCCTTGGCCCTTGCAAGGTCCCTACTGCGTACACTAACATCTCATCAGAATTGCCTGCGGCACCAAGGAACGACCTGATGATGATCGACGCCCTATTTTAGGCTTGCCTCGGCTGTTGCATTCCCACTGCACACTGCACAACTTTGAAATTCTCAATGAACTTGTCACAAAAGAGACAGGGGCGGGTAGCGGGTATGCCCGAGAAATCTAGAAGCGCAGAACGTAGTCAGCCAGTCACAGACCGCCTTGCAATTTTCTCTTGTGTTCAACAACGTGTGGTGCGCACGTGTGCTGTTTTGATAGAAATGCGCTCTCGTCCTTCTGATTTGTCAATTCAACACAAGCACACAAGGAAAAACAAAAACAAAACAATAAGGGTTCTTCCCTTGGTGCATGAATATGCGGATACCGTTCGCATAGGTCGCAAATTCTCCGATGGAATTCCACTCTTGAAAGCATGACAACAAGTCAACAACATCCCTGCTCCATCTTGCCCTTCCCATCTACTGCGTACATAGATATGTAGGACTCTGTTTCGTTGAAGATGGGGTCTTTTTCAAACGTGAGATATGCCGAGAAGGAAAAACAGGATCAATGATACAGCAATCCCCATCAGTATCAGCGGCTTCATTGTTTCCGACGTCTGAGACACACCGACCGTCTTCGGCCTCCACTTTCTCTTGTGCTTTTCCCGTCGTTCCTTGTCATTGTCGTTATCTTTCCAATGTCGTGCCCGTCTTTGTTCGGCATGCATCTCCGACGGTGCAACTTGCAAAGATGCATCGGCGTATCGGGTTTGGAAAGGTGGTTTTGAATTTTTGCTGGAGCGCGTCATGATGGTTGTGGATCTACTTTCCCACATGCATGCCTGGAGAGCACTGAAGAGGTACCCAGGTTACCATCCGCGGTTGCTTCGAGTTTAGCACGTCTCCTGGTACTCCTCTGGAGTCTGGCGCGATCATACAACGGCAAGCGAGATCCCGAAATATCCATGGCAATTCGCTCAAATCAAACCTGTTGTGTAGGTCGGAGAGAAATGAAATGTGAATATTACGATGCGTGCACATCACGCCAAGATTCGAAACAACTCCTGTCAGCTAGATTTCCCTTCGGTCGTTGGAAAGAGACCTTGTGGCCAGTGAGGATCTTGTGTTTTTGGTGTTTTCGCCTCTGGTTAATTTCCTCCTTGACCCTACATATGCTAGTAGGCCATCTATACAGTGTAGATCGATGCTCCCCTTTCTTGCGCTGCGCATAGTAGCCATATGCTGCCACATACGGTCCTCATGTCAGGTACGCGTAGCAGCAACGGGAAGGATCGGATCCCTTCATTGGACAGGTAACATTGGGCGTTGCAAATTGTGGGGAATGAATCAAAGTTCAACCTCATCGTTTACCGCGGCTGAAAAAAAGAAAGAAGGAAAAAAAAAAACAAAGAAACCATCATATCATCACTTGGCTTTTGTCATAAAGTGGCTATGGCATCATAGCAATCAAGATGGCAAAACTATAAAACCCATGTGCTAAGGTCGTAAGAAAGGAGAAAATGTTGTCACGAATACAACTCTGTCTTGATATCTCTCTATATCGTGCACATCCTATACCCGTATGACCAAGATCTCACTGGCCAAGTCACCGAAGAGGCCAAAGGCGCGCGATGCGCGGTTACAGTAATGTGCCCTGTTAATGCAACTAATGCCGGCAGCCAGATTTCTTTGCAAAAGGGGGGCTTTTGCAAAGGATGGTACTAGTGCACAGACCAATATATGCTGTGGGGCTACTAGATTACGGGTCGACTACCCTAAAGGTGGGTCACTTCGACCCTCTCGCACCGCCGCTATTCGTCCTGCCCACCTAAATCAGATCCCTGTTAATGCAAATCCCCCCCGTCAGTATTGCAATTAGCAGTTAGCAGTCTTCACCACCAGAGGGAATGCGGGCAGCCGAAATCTTTAGCAAAAGGGGGGCTTTTTGCATTAAGGGGGCTTAGCATTAACAGGGCACATTACTGTACCAGGCTCGTTTCCTGTCCACGCGATCGATATCAAAAGCCAAACAGAGCAAGGAAGGAAGGGAAACTTCAGGGACAGGGGGGCAGAGAGGAGGGGAAGGTAGTATGGATGGACAGAGAAGATCTTGGAAAGAGAACGACGCTGAAGATGAATGCATCGGCACAGTTTGATAGGGGAGAATTGTCTATGCCATCTGCTAATGGATCTTCGATCAAGAGATCATCATGTCTGCTCCTCCAAGCCAAACGTGAATGAGGTGCATAGAGATCGCGTTTCATCAAGAAAACGATTGTCGTATAGCTGTACAATACGCAGCAATACCAACCACGTAAAGAGACAGCGATGGGTCTTGACAGTATGGAGAAGATCGTGACAACCCCTAGGCAAATATCACGCACTTAAGCGCGGTCTCTGAGACTTTTGTCCTCTGCTCCCATTATTACCGTTATTGTTTGTCGACTTTCTCCATACATACTACTCCCCTTCATTTTACACGACTCTTCCTTGGTGAGCTGAGGCCAAGACCATTGTTGCGCGGTGCCATCACCAAGTTGGACGCCAAGAAGACGGAGTCTCCTCTTTCTTGAATTGAGATGGGATCCTTCGGCAACGCGGCTGCGCTAAAAGGGACATGGGGGCGGGGGGGTATTATGATGGCCTCTTGATGGGGAAAACAAATGGTAAAGTCATGGCAGCCTGCCGCTCTCTCTTACGCACGATACAACAACAGCGTCGGTTTGGACAGCTGCTTCAGGCTTGCTGCATTAATAAGCCGCAACACCGTCCTCCGAACATGTCGCCTTGGCAAAGTTTACGTGCCATCGCGAGGTGGTATTCGTAGCCGAATACTGACGTTTCTTCATGTTTAAACCTCAAAGCCTCGCTCGCTTCCTCCTCCACCTCTCTGGGGAAGTTACAGGAGAGGTAGGGTAAAAGGGGGGGGGGGGGGGGGGGGAGAGAGCAAGAGAGGGCAGAATTTTCGAGCGGATGGGTCGAGAGTCGACAATGAGCCGGCATCGTCCGGCGGTTTCATCGGAGAGTCGTGATCTGTAAAAGTCAAAGCAATGGTCGACGACAAGTGAAGTAACGTAGAGTGCATAGGAACGTAAGAATGAATCCAACTGACAAAACTTGTGGTGTGTTGATGACCTCGTAAGACTGTAGTAGTGTTTCATTGAACATGAGCTAGTGTGAAGAAAATAGACAATTGGCTCTGTTTCTCGGAGGTGTAACAAACACCGAAAATCTGGCGATATCCATCTCTGAAGGATGCAAGTCTCAGATCTCATCCTTTCATCGGCGACCATATCTGAGTCTGTCCTTCAGTCGGTCTCCGTACTCGCCGACATATCCTATCTTGTTGCATCTGCCCATTACCACCTCACGAGCTCCAGCTACAGCAAAAAAAAAAAAAAAAAAAAAAAAAAAAAAAAAAAAAAAAAAAAAAAAAAAAGCCCCATCAGCATTCAGCAAATCCTTGCTTTTGCGCGCTTTACCCTAGTAGCTACGTTGTCGCGCGTGCCCTTATCTCTTTGATCGCGAAATTCCGAGGCTGGTGTTGAAAAAATTTCCAAAGAAAAATTCTTTCCGATAAGTTGATGGTTGCTGTTCTCCCCATGCTTCTCCATCCTACCCTTCTCCAAAGTCACCCGGGCCAGCAGATATTTTACTTGGACTCCATTGCAATGATGTAATTCGAGCTGAGACCGGGTCTCGACCCTCGTCCGAGACCAGTACCGTAATGTAGCACATGAGTGTGGAGATGACCCTTGGCTTTATTTTGCATTGTATGCAGAAACTGAGTGTGACCTGGGTCTCCCCACTCCCTGACGGCAGACGGGCTTCAGTTTCAGTGAGAGAACAGAAAGGGATGAGGAGGAATGAACAACGCATGCAGGTCATCCAGTTCCAAAAATTAGAAGAGAGCGAGCTCGGTTTGGATATGCGATCGATGGGAGGGTGGACAATTCAATGCGTGTTTCACGAAAGACTATTCTGATCTCAGGATTGTGAGCCCAGGAGTATAATGACATGTCAAATAAATTCCTGTTTCCCGCATCCAGATGCATTGGAATTCACATGATGAGGAGCCAAGGAGAATCGCATAATGGTAGATCACTGAATGATTGTGGTATTCGGGTGGTTAAAAACCGATCCGTTCAGAGAGTGAGGCACTCAAGGTGCTCGTGGTATCAAGTTGCGATAGTACATGTGAATGTCGGAAGACCGACTACAGAAAAACACCTTCCCAATGAGTTCCCAAACCCGCCCAGAAACCCCCTTCCGATTCCTTCCATGCCCCCCATTACCTCCCAGCCAATGCCCGTACCAGCGACCATGGTGATGTCTGACGCCGATGCCCATGCTCCCATAGTGATAGTGATACAGTTCCCAAATACAAAAACAAAAACAAAAACAAAAAATTAGAAAAAGTCGGTGGTTTTCGCAATGCTCGTTGAATCGTCATTCCAAATCGGAAGAATTAGCGAGAGTAGTCATTGATTAAAAGGTCGGTATTATGTGGTGGTACAGTGTCGAAATGCAAAATTCGCGCCAGACGGATCCGGAGCTCAAGCTCGCGGAGGTTGTGGTTGAAGTTCCCTCGAGCCCAGCTGGTGAATTGTGTTCCAAAAGACCTGATGAGTGGTGGTAGGCATCGTGATGCGGCAGGAATGTCGCTTGGGTTGATTCAAGAACGACCGGGGAAAAGCGTACGGTCATCGACCAACCGTTGGAGTGGTTGATATTAGTGATGGCATGTCGAGACCGACGGTGAGAGGCTGCTGCGTTGATATGCAGGCGGGCATGCTAACGCACTATGGCGTGCAGCTCGTGATGATTGATGCGCCAAAGGGGAGCCACTCAGTATTAAAAAAGCTACTGGGGCTCTGCAGTGGGCACTCTGCAGCCTTGTGCTCCGCGGCCAGTGAAACCAATCTTGAGAAAGCTCGGCCCGGCCGCAACCCTTGTGAAAAGAGGATAGAGCATAGACAGACAATGATGAGAACAAGGAGACATGAGAGATGCCAAGATGTCATCGAGTTGCTTTCCATCCATGTTGAAGCGAGCTGCTTAACCCCTCTTGGGAAGAGGGGGAAGAGGGGGAAGAGGGCGGCTGGGAGGGGGGCCGGGGCAGGGAGGAAGCTGGGAAGGGCGCTGAGCGGCGGCAGGCATTTTGATGGTTTGTTTTGGTGTTGTGATAGTTGTTGTTGTTGTTGTTGTTGTTGTTGTAGATATTCGTGTGGATGACTATGTAGTCAAGTGCCGAGTTGAGTTCTTTGGAGGTTGGCGGCGGTGGTAGATATAAGCTGTCGTTGGTAGAAGCTTGTGTAATCCGAAGACTGTTTGAAGTGTCTTGAGTGTCCTGATGGTGAGCTGATTGGTGTTGTTTAATCTGATGATGGCTATCCAAAGGTGGTGAGAGGAAGGTGGGAGGGCTCAGGCTTATATGTAGGAAATGTGCCGAGTAACGACCTCAACATTGCCCTTTACGGATAACGTGGAGATGGGCAGGGTGGCAGGCTCTGTGAATTCACAGACAGGGCTGCGGCCAGGCAGTTAGTTGTTGCCAGGGTCTGTGGATCGCAGCCCTCGAACGAGAAAAGCCCAGCGTGAATGGAAAATGCCCGGCGACAATGGTACGCATGGTAAGCATGGTACGCATGGTACGCATGGTACGCATGGTTGTATGCCTGGTACGTACCGTCATAGGTATCAGGAACGGGCGGGACCTGGCAGCTGAGACCGTGGAGCAGTACATTGAACGGGGGTTCAGGTACAAGCGATGTAGCGCTGCTGGCGCGATGAATTGCTGCGCGCGTTACAAAAATAAAGTTGCGCATCGCACTCAAGGGGTGTCGAGCCTTGTACCAGGACATGAAGGACGCTAACTTGCGGTGACGCAGCCATGGCTTGGCGTAATTGAACGTCTCAAAGCAGTGAAAGGTTCCTGAATTGTGCCTGGAAGGCTACCAGAGCGATCCTGGTAATGAATGACCTTTGAGTGAGTTCGCGCTGCGAGAAAAATGAAACACAGCAGACCGACCGGGGTGCCCTGCTGCATGACACCGCTTTCCCCCCCCTGTCTTGCAAGAAAGGCGATTGGGGAAAGAGAAAAAGTGCCCTTTGTATAGTACCTGCCGCAAGTACCTGATGACTGGAGCAGGCCAAACAGCCTTTCATTTCCATGTTCACCCATTTTTGGCTGTCGTTGTCGCTGGTCCCGCAGGACTCCAAAAATACGATCGGTACGGGATCGTACGGGGGCCCGCGCTGTAATAATGGGCTAATGAGTGGGATTTTGGGAATAATGGGAGAACAGGCAAAGTCCTGGAATCGGTTTGCAAGAGAAGAACGTCCTTGGTGTTCTGGAAATAGCGGTCGGCCTGCTTTCCCATGGCATCCATGACGACGGCAACTCCTTTGCAATCAGACGTCGTGATTGTTGTCCTGATCGCACCTGGGGTTTGCTTGTCTGTCACAAGATGTATTGGGATTCCTTCGCGTGCCGGTGCCATATGGCAAAACATAGGTGGCCATGCGACCGGGCCTCCGGCGACCCGCGCTGTCCGTCCGAACTCTGCCAGTGCTCGCCCGCCAAGGCCAACCCGCCGGCTACATATTGCGCTGGAGAATGAAGATGCGGTTGCCGTCGTGGTCGGCCGGCCATTGAGAGCGGGCCTAGCCAAGACCTCATTCACATCCACACTCGGCAGGCGGGATAACTTCTGAAACAATCTTGCGTCCACTGACAACAGTCATCGACATCATGTTTACTCAGCTGTACTGGATGGGACGTGATTTCATCCTGCTTCTACATTTCTGTGAGAAAACGGGAAGTGATCGATGATCTGCCACCATTCATTTGCGCATTACCCGCATTCAGGTCAGGCATTTTGACACTCAAGGACGTTCAAAAAGAGCAGCGTACATTGGTGCGCACATTGCAGCTGAAAGTTTTTGGCGTTGGCGTTGGCGTTGGCGATTCCTATCGTATCTTCCACTTGGAGTATGCAAGTTTTGCTTGCCTTTTTTTTCGAGCGTATCCACTGGCAATCTCAGGTGCTTCATTAGACTCAGTAGTGTACTGTGTAGAGGTAGAGCAATTTGGCACAAAATCCGTGCAAAGCTGCATAGGGGAAAATTCCACTTGGCTTCAGTTTTTACTGCTAGCCTGCCCCCAGCAGTCCCAGGCACGCCAGACCAGCGTTGTTTCTGTTTTCGGGGTCTCCCCAGGAACCAGGAACAGGTTGATTTGCCCTGCCGCTGTCGCCGATGCCGTTGGTTTTTTTCCCCTTAGTACCTTATGCTCAGAATGCTGAGGAATTTTTTGCCACTTTCTCATTTCCACGAAACCCGCCAAAACAGGCCCTAAAAATTCTTGAGACTCCAGCACCCTCCTGGGACAATTAGGTACATACCACAACTCCGGGCACTGTCCACCGTCCATCTTCGGCCCGCCCGACCACCAACGTCTCAGTCTCGGGCACGAGAAAGCGGCGAATCTGTCAAATGAACGGCCGAACTCATGCTCAAAAACGGGATGTGGTTTACCCTTCGGACGCGACTGTGATCGCACAACTGTCCTGCGGTCGAACGAGCCAAAGCCGGTTCCCGGCTGACCGTCGGTCAGTGTCCAACTTAAGACATGTAAGAAATGTTTCAATGAGCTGCAGGAGCCGTGTGCTCGACTTGAGACAGCACCGATCAACACGTAATACCGTATAATCTCGGGGCCTTCGTTCTCGGATTCTCACAGTGGGCGGTAGAAATCATCGGTTCTAGCGAATAGCGATTACAAAGAGTACCTTGGGGTCTAGGTTTTCAAAGAGGTTCAAGCGTATCTGTAATGCTGCATGTCACGGTGTTTTCTCGAAAACGTACACCCTCCGAGTGTCTTTCAAAAGCATGCACCGCTTCTGCTAGCAGTAAGTTCTGCATATCCGATCGTCAGCTGGCCCCCTTTTGGTTGCCTTTTCAAACACTCGTAAATTACCTTATGCTGTCTTCACGCCATTATAATATCAACAATGATGGCGGTTGCCTTGTTGTCACCTCGTTTACATAGTGCTCGCAATGCCTGTGTTACAACCAACCACACGCCACCGTTGCAAGTGGCTGACTTGAATGCCTACGCGGTACATTGTCCCTGTAGGCTAGTTGATAGCTCACAAAACTACCGAGACTGGAAGTTGTGTCGGCGATGAGCTGGGAGGGACGAGGACATGCCATGGTCAGCGCGATGCAAGTGTGTACATCAGTGTAGGAGATTCGATCACATTGCCTTCTCATTGACGTCATTAAACCGTAACCTTGAGACAGCTTCCTCCCCCTCCGCACTTGGGAATTGCTTTTAGGGGTGAGACCGACGCCGGATCGGAGCCCCACGATGTTGAGGCTGATAGTCTTTACGCACTAGAGTGGACGTCTGAGATCCAGACCGCGCCGCCCAAAAAAAAAAAAAAAAAAAAAAAAAAAAAAAAAAAAAAAAAAAGGTCCGTCCTTGTGTTGTTCGTTTGCCCGGCGGCGAAGCCGACAGAGCGGCCCGGAAATGAAATGCACTGCAGTCCTCAGCTAGTCGTTTTTCGCTGCGTGCGCGGAGTGTTGGACGGAATTGGAATGGGATGGAGGAGCGGAACGGGAGCATCGCCTTCCTTGGCTCGTTCCCAAGAGCAAGAGAGAGCCATCGCAAGTAGCCCCATTCGACAGACGATTGCATGACGGGAATGCCTCAGAAGATTCCTCTTGTCAGTAACCGTCTCGTCAGGAACTGGGCCAGGACGGGCTGACGGTGCGACCTTCGACTGGATTGGCATCCTTGGAGAACGCCACGCACTTTGGTTGGCGAAGGCCACTTCCCCGCATCACAACTTATACAGTGTTTGCGCCCAAAGGAGACATCCCACCACCTTGGGGGGTGAGCCTGTGTCAGCCGAAGTCTGGTAGGTTGATAAGAAAGAGCTGGTCGAATTGGGTCAGCTCGGGCTGAACAGCCTCTTCGATTATGCCATCTGGTGGCTGGGAAACCCCACTATCAAGTCTATCTTTTGCAAATCACCCATAATGACCTACTACAGGGCTTCAACTGCAACGATATGTCGCGATCAGTGGTGTAAAGAAAGCCGGGGAAGTCAGAAGATGTAAGGCAGGCAGGCAGGCAGGGATAAGGAAGATCCTATCAAGGTACGTGTACACTAGTTTACTCATCTAAGCGCTAACCCGCCATTTTGGCAACTTCTCCGTCTCAAGTCGAAATATCAAGACATGGTCAACACGAATAACCTGCATAAGGCTCACTGTGCTTTAGGTGAGACTCTGCCCCCAAAGGGCGTGCGCTGGCTGATCGAACTTGCATGTCCTATCGAGTGTGTTCAATGTGGGCCTGTTTCAGACCATTCGTACCTAATCAGCATTAATATTTAGGCTTTATGGCGTAACCGACTTTAGCGAGCGCTTATTTGGCCATAGCATTGACAAACAACTTGGGCCATCATGATCATACTGTAGTATACTATGCTCTACGCGGACGGCTGGAGAGGGAACTCGAGTCACTGGCGCCTATCAAAACCTCTTGACCGTGACCGCGCCTGTCGGTACCATGATCACATACACACAGCACGCTCGGGAGTGCAGGAGGAAGCGCATTGAAGCCAGGCAAAGCCGCCGGAGGTGCTGAACGGGATACCGTCGCAAGGCTCGCAACAACGGATTCCTGGCGTGGCATGGGTCAAAAGGGTAAGCGATGTGTAAGTGTACGGCAGAAATAGAACGGAAACGAAGGGGAGCGAAACACATGCGAGGGCCAGGAAATGTAGCTCGACCCTCTCAGTCCTATCCGGACACAGATTGAGTACCGTACCCAGCCCTCTCCAGCCGTGTCTCGAGGTGGATTCGCTGACCGCTGACTCTGAGTCCCTTTCCGACCCTTTCCCTCTCCAGTGGGTTGCGCCCTTTGCGGGCAATACTTCCCTTTGCGGCCTGCTTCGCGGAGTATGTAGTACTTCGAAATGCGGTTCCTCAGATGAAGGTGAACTGTCTATACCGAACCTGAACCCTGATGGTGACCAAGAATAGAATATTGTGCAAGGGAGAAGAGGGGGTAAATTACCAAAAGCACGGGGCGTCACCCTCGTATCTTCGCTATCCCTGGAGCCCTACCCGGGCTGAGTTTTATCGATCACGGCGAGCGTGAGAGTCAGCATTGTTGGGGATCTTGTGTCCAGGGTCTCTGCATGTGGGATTGCGAATGATGACAAGCATCATTGGGTGGTGGTAATTGCTGCTGACAAAGGTTTCTAATGCCGTTGCTCGTTGTCGTTGTCGTCCTGCGACGGCTGACCCGGCAGGCTGGGACCTCTTTTGTGGATCC